AAATGCACCGGAAAAAAAAAAACCCCCCCCCGCCACTTCCTCTACTCCAAAAACAAGGCAGCTGACTACTTCATCCTCATCCTGCAGGTACCAGGGCGCGGGCTGGGGTCCCCACCGTCCCCCTGAAGACTGCAATGGGGACAGGGGTGGTCTCATCCAGCCCAGCGCCGCGGGAGGGGGCTCACATGCCATCTCTCCCTCGCAGGGCAAGGTGGAGGTGGAAGCCAGCAAGGAGTGCATGAAGTTCGAAGCCGGAGCTTTCTCCTATTACGGGGTGATGGCCATCAGCCCCGCCCCAGTAGCCGGTAAGCACCCCCCTCCCATTGCCTGGGGGCCACCACAGAGCCCCCCCACCCTGATTTAGGGCTGCTAGTAGGACTAGGAGATGCTGGAAGCTCCAAGCCCGCACCAGTGTCCCCCCTGAGCCATGCTGGGGGGCTGTGTGGTCATCACCTCGCCTGGCACTTGTCCCCAGGCGGGGTGGACACTTGTCCCTAAATGTGGCTAGCAGTGGGCAGAGGCTCCGTGCCCAACCCAGAGTCTGAAAACCCAATTTCGGGCCACCCTCCTGTCACCGCCAGGCTGTGCGAGGTTCAGCTTGACGTCATGGGGTCACCGGTCACACCCTGCTGGGACCCCACTGTACTGGGTGTCCCCACCCTATTCGTGCAGCACCGGATGTTTTGTGTGTCACGTCCCCCCCATGCCAGGCCAGCTACTTGTCACCTCACCGTGCCACCGGTTTTCTCGTCCTGAGTGTGTCTGGAGGAGGAAAGGTGGCTCCTGCTCCGGTGTGGGGCTGCAGCTGGGTGGCATCACTGCCCGGTGTCACTGCCCAGTGTCACCTGGCCCCGCTCGTTGTGACGTTAGGCTCTGTCACACCCCATAACCGCCCCAGTTTCTCCCAGCTGCCTTCACTGCAGCTGCAGCGGAGGAGCAGGGGGACAGCGCTGGCTGGACGGCTCGGTGTGGTGGCTGTCACCATTCCAGGTGGACGGTGAGGAGGTGGCACTCTCCCTGCTGCTGCATGTGGTTCCCGTGTCACCCTGGCTTTCCCAGCACGTCACCATGTCCCCATAACCCCCACCTTGTCCCTAAGCCCTTGCAGGGTGACTGATCCACTGATTTGGGGAGTCACAGTGAACTGTCCCCTGGCCCTGGAGCAGGGGGACCGGAGGGGCTCTGGACTCCCAGGCTGTGGTCGGTGGCCTTTTGGCTGGTGACAAACAGGGACCACATCCAGCGCTGCCTGGCAGAGCTGGAGACAGCAGCACTTGGCCATGGGGACACGGAGCTGTGCTGGGGTGGACGTGCGTCCTGCTCCCTGTCACCTCTGGGCCTTGTGTCCCCAGAGCCTGTGGGACGGG